ACAAAAAAAAAAAAAAAAAAGAAATAGATATTACTCAATCTACAGTCATACTAAGAGTAGTGATAATGGAATTCCATTTCTACTTAGGCACAATTTGCTTAATTTGAATTCCATAAGAGACATTTCTTTATATGTAGCAACAGGTTTCTTTTGCTTACAAAATATAAAGTTTCTTTTAATTCGTTATGTCTTTTTTTATAATAATTATAGAATTAGGAAGCAAAATTAGGACAGCTATAAATAATTATTATAGAAATAAACTATGCCTTACAATATATAGATACAGTTTACTTTTATGAACTGAAGCAAAATATAGCAAGTAGAGAACAGAAGACATAAAATGATAATTTACCTCTTATTTGCCTGTCAACAACTCTCATTTCCTTTCTTATCTTCAACGACCATTCATTGACCTGGGAAAAGTTATAGAAAAGGAATTATAAGAGACATCAATACTCCTAGTTCAACCAATTATAAAAAATTTTGTATTAATTCTACAGTTGTTTCAGACACAAAAAATAAAGCCATTTTCAAAGAAAGGGCTTTAGGGCCCAATTCTATTTTTTTTTTTTTTTCTTTTTCATCTTTTTTATTCACAGTGCACAGAAATTCCAAGCTATTCAAAGATTTTTAGCGGAAGGCAGGCACTTTACATAAAAACTTCAGAGGGAATATGGTACCCTGAAAGTATACAAAGATTGTTTAAGAGGTGAATGGGCACAGATAATTTTACGGGCATCAGAAGATTTTCACCTTTTATACATAATCATTTCAAAAACTACCTTGCCTGTGTCATAAGAATTCATCTTTTCTTTCTCCCCTTTAACAATAATCCTTTTTCCACTTTACAAAAGAAAGATACTCACCTAACCCATGTTTCTTATTACCATGGTATATTTCCCTGACAGGCAAAAACCTCTGAAGTGCTAAACACAGGGCTGACTGGAAATACTGGTGTAAGGTGTTTAAAAAGTAGTAAATGACTCTAATGATTACCAAATTTTTATGCAAGTAAACTGTTTTCCAATTCTTTACTTTTCAAAAAAATTGAAAGAAAACCTGAATTGTCAGATTAATCATTAAAAGTAAATTTTATACTAAATCACTATGTGCTTTTTGGCATATGACTCAGAAGTTCAAAGAACTGAGTGACACTGCATTACACAACTCCTTCCATTACCATCTACTTATTCATATTAACAAGGCATCTCAGCACTTGAGTCGATAAAAACATAAAATAGGAATAGACTTGATGCTGAACCCTGTAGCATTTATCCATGTAGCATTCATCCACGGACACATGAACTAAATGGCATTTAAAAAATCCATACCAGGGCCGGCCCGGTGGCGCACTGGATAGTGCGCCGCTTGGGAAGCGCAGCGGCGCTCCCGCCCGAGGGTTCGGATCACACGCACCCAAAAAAAGCTAGTAGGGAAACTTGCCAGAATTTGAACCCAGATCTGCCAAAACTCCAAAGTCAGACCATAATTGTGTCTCCCAGTGTGTAAATATCTATCAAATACTTTGTGCACATGTGTGAACATGCCAAACTTTGAATGATTTAAGTATAACCTGTATTTTAATACTTAGGACAGCATCATAAAATTAATTTCTAAATGAATATTGAAATTTATCCAGTTTCTATGTTTAGCAATTGGTGTTAATTTACCTCTCATAAGTGCTAGAAAGGTTCTACAATACCTCCTCCAGCCCTTTTATACTATTCAAGCTTTTTATTAGCCCTAATGTTGATTGCCTTCCCAGGGCATCTACTAGTTTGAGTATAATTTGTCTAATTAAATTTAAAGAAGAGATGTTTCAGGGAGCACCATTTCATCATTTCCTCTTAAACTCTATGCTGTGGACTTTAATGAGGACCTAAACCCCATCTTAACCCAGCCTTAGTTTCAGCACAGATGAGCTGTGCTTGTTAAGACAGTCTTCAGTTGTCCTGAGGGTTGCGATCCGTTGCCGGACACGGAAAAAGACAAAAGACAAAAAAAAAAAAAAAAAATCCATACCATTACAAGACATATTTCCAATAAATTTCACTTTTAATGTTTAATATTTAACAAAATCTGTAAAATATTTATTATGGAACAATAATTGTAATAACTCCACTATCAGGTCATACAATTTTTAACATTCTAATGTTACTTTATGCATATTTTTTGAAGTGAAATTCATGTAACACATCATCATTTGAAAGTGCACAATTCAGCGCATTTACAATATTGTGCTAGGACCAACTCTCTCTATGCTAAAAACTTTTCAACACTACAGAAGAATATGCTACACCTTTTAAATAATTTCTTCCTATCTCCCGTCCTCCAATTTCCTGGCAACCACTAATTTGCTTTCTGTCTTTATAGAATTGCTTATTCTGAATATTTCATATAAGAAATCATATGATGTGTGACCTTTTGTTTCTGGTATATTTCTTTTAGCATAATGTTTAAGGTTTATCCATGTTGTAGTATGCATCAGTACTGTAGTCCTTTTTATGGCTGAATAATATTCCATTGTATGTATATACCACATTTTATTTATCCATTCATCTGTTGATGGACATTTGAATTGTTTCCACCTTTTGGCTACTGTGAATAGTGCTTCTGTGAAGAGTCAGGTACAAGTATTTGCTTGAGTACCTGTTTTCAATTCTTTTAGGTATATACTCATATACCTGGGACTGCAATTGCTAGGATATATGGTAATTCTATGTTTTTGAGGATCTGTCAAACTGTTTTTCACAGTGTACCATTTTATATTTCCACCAGCAATGAGCTATGTTTTCCACATCTCACCAACACTTGATATTTTCCAGTTTTTTTTATTATAATCAGTCTGCTGGGTGTGAAGTGGTATCTCATTACGGCATTGATCTGCATTTTCTTACTGACCAGTGAAGTTGGACATCTTTTCACATGCTTGTTGGCTATTTGCTCGTCCCCCTTCAGAGAAATGTCTATTCATGTCTTCTGCTCACTTTTTAATTGGGTTCTTTGTCTTTTTGTTGTCAAGTTATATGAGTTCTTTATATATTCTGATAGACCCTTATGAGATACATGATTTGCAAATATTTTCTCCCACTCTGTAGGTTGTCTTTGCACTTTCATGATGTCCTTTGATGTATGAAAGCTTTTAACTTTGCTAAAATCCAATTTATCTAAAGAATGTGTTTTCTGAAGTCATTCTTAAAGTTTCAGCTTACATGTTACTTCAGGGAGGGCTTCCCTGATCCCCAGAATTAAACAGAACCCTATGCCCCCCTCTTTTGTAAAGCTCATTATATGCCTGGCACTAAGCAGATGCTCAATAAATACCTGTTGAATTTAATTGCATGGAATATGAGATGTGAAGAAGGGACAAAAATTTTCAGCCATAAGTAATACTTATGAAACAAAAATCTCCAGAAACTTTCTGTGTATGGTTTTAAATATCAAAGGTAAAAGTTTCATAAAATCTGTCAAAAGAAAAATTCCTTTTTTTTTTTTTTTTTTTCCGCTGGCTTGTACAGGGATCTGAAACCTTGACCTTGGTGTTATAACACTGGGCTCTAACCAACAGGGCTATCCAGCCAGCCCTAAGAAAAATTCCTTTTAAACTTACAAAATCAAAGAGACTTTGCAAACAAAAACCTTACCTAGGAGAAATGGGAAGAATCAAAAGTATCTAGTCATGTCTCAGACCAGTGCTTCTCAACCTGAACTACACATAAAAGTCACCCAGGAAACTTCTTGGTGTTATAACACTGGGCTCTAACCAACAGGGCTATCCAGCCAGCCCTAAGAAAAATTCCTTTTAAACTTACAAAATCAAAGAGACTTTGCAAACAAAAACCTTACCTAGGAGAAATGGGAAGAATCAAAAGTATCTAGTCATGTCTCAGACCAGTGCTTCTCAACCTGAACTACACATAAAAGTCACCCAGGAAACTTAAAAAATACTAACTTAACTGGGCCAGGGGCAGAGCCCAAATAACAGGTAGCATTTAAAAATCTTTCCAGGTGATTCTCATGTTTTGTTAGGGTTAAGAAATACAAGTAGAGGTCTCGTACACTTCGAGACAAAGAGCTCAAGAAATTGTACCAAACATGTCTCCTAACCGTAAAGATCACTACAATAAACAAAAGGGACCAGCCAGCTGTGAAAAAAATACAACAATAAATAAACAGAAGGAAATTTAAAACAGATAGAGGAAATTCAACAAACATTTATTTAATGCCAATAGGACTTTAATAATAAATGAAAAGCATTTATAGTTGGTAAGTAAAAGAGAACATAAGAAATATAATATAGAGAAAAATCAATTAGTAAATTAGATAATATGTTATGAAGACCATAAAGAACCTCTAAAAAGAATTTCACACTATCAAGATATAACCTTTATTCCAATTCACTCAGAGAGTCTACAATATGCCAGGCAAACCAGGCAATGAAAACCAAAACCACTGAGAACAGGGCATTTTCCATAAATAGTGCTGAGACAAATGGTAAGCCAAATGGAAAACAAAATAATCGAATCCCTGTTCCATCCTTCACTGAAATTCAGGTATACTGAAGACATAAGTACAGAATGCAAAACTCTGCTACTTTAAGACAGTATAGGAATATATATATATTACTTCAGCTTAGGGAAGGATTTCTTAATCCTTTGATTTCTTAATCCCCACAAAAAGCAATAACCATAAAGGAAAAGACTGATATCTTTATCTATATATTGAAATTAAGAATTTTTATTCATCACTGGGCTTCATAAAGAGTAAAATGTCACGAATTGGGAGAAGATACTTGTAACCATATAAATGATAATAGGTAAAAAGTATTTATAAAGACTCTACATCCAGGACATATAAAGACCCGTATCCAAATATATAAAGATCTATGAGTAAATGTCTTTTTTTAAAAAATTGAATTCTGAACATTATCTATGAAAATCTGCAGGATAATTTAAGTCTCTGGATGATGTCATCTTCTTACAGAGAAGACTTATATTTGCTTCTGGCAAACATCTAGCTTAAGTGCATTGGCAACTGGTTTTTAATTAATCTTAATAAATCCAATCAGAGATAGAGATTATTTAACACTGGGCTTCAGTCTTTGTGAAAGCCAGTCTATTTTCAGCTCACTGTCACTGCTAAGGTTTATCCTTTTGGAGTCCCAACCGAAAGCCCTAGATTTTTACCAGAGTCCCTTATCCTTGGTGTGTCATGAACTCCAATTTTTATACTCTCCAACCACAGGGTCTGTCAAAAGCTTTACCCAAATTCTCAGTTTCTCAGCCACTGCATTGAGACACAGAATCTTTCAAAAGGAGAACTGATGCTACTAGAAGTGGGAAGGGGTAGGGGGGAGGAACTGATAAAGAATGAATAGCAATGACAGTGTAGTGTATATTGTTGAATATAATAA